CATGGGAGAACAGCAGCACCAGGGGAGAACCACAGCAACACGGGAGAGACACAGCAGCATGGGAAAGACACAGCAACATGGGAGAACACAGCAGCACAGGAGGAGACACAGCAGCATGGGAGAGACACAGCAGCATGGGAGAACACACAGCATGGGAAAGACACAACAACATGGGAGAACACAGCAACACAGGAGAACACAGCAGCATGGGAGGAACCAACAGTATGGGAGACACAGCAACATGGGAGACACAGCAGCATGGGAAAGACACAGCAACATGGGAGACACAGCAGCACAGGAGGGAACACAGCAGCATGGGAGGAACACAGCAGCACAGGAGAGACACAGCAGCATGGGAAGAACACAGCAACATGGGGAGACACAGCAGCATGGGAAAGACACAGCAACATGGGAGAACACAGCAGCACAGGAGAACACAGCAGCATGGGAGACACAGCAGCATGGGAAGACACAGCAACATGGGAGACACAGCAGCACAGGAGGAACACAGCAGCATGGGAGAACACAGCAGCATGGGAGGAACACAGCAGCATGGGAAGACACAGCAACATGGGGAGACACAACAGCATGGGAGGAACACAGCAGCATGGGAGGGCACAGCAGCACAGGAGACACAGCAGCATGGGAGAGACACAGCAGCACAGGAGAGACACAGCAGCATGGGAAGAACACAGCAACATGGGAGAACGCAGCAGCACGGGAGAGACACAGCAGCATGGGAGGCACAACAGTATGGGAGAACACAGCAACATGGGAGAACACAGCAGCATGGGAGAGACAGCAACACAGGAGACACAGCAGCATGGGAGAACACAACAACATGGGGACAGCAGCATGGGAGAACACAGCAGCACAGGAGAGACACAGCAGCATGGGAGACACAGCAGCATGGGAGGAACAGCAGCATGGGAGAGAGACAGCAGCATGGGAGACACAGCAGCATGGGAAAGACACAGCAGCATGGGAGACACAGCAGCATGGGAGACACAGCAGCATGGGAGACACAGCAGCATGGGAGAGACAGCAGCATGGGAGACACAGCAGCATGGGAAAGACACAGCAGCATGGGAGAGACACAGCAGTATGGGAGAACACAGCAACACAGGAGAGACACAGCAGCATGGGAAAGACACAGCAACATGGGAGGAACACAGCAGCATGGGAGAACACAACAGCATGGGAGAACACAGCAGCACGGGAGAGCACAGCAGCATGGGAGACACAGCAGCATGGGAGAGACACAGCAGCACAGGAGAGACACAGCAGCATGGGAGACACAACAGCATGGGAGAACACAACAGCATGGGAGACACAGCAGCATGGGAGAGAGACAGCAGCATGGGAGAACACAGCAGCATGGGAGAGACACAGCAGCATGGGAAAGACACAGCAACATGGGAGACAGCAGCATGGGAGAACACAACAGCATGGGAGAACACAGCAGCACGGGAGGAGACACAGCAGCCAAGGAGAACACAGCAGCATGGGAAAGACAGCAACATGGGAGAACAGCAGCATGGAGAGAACACAGCAGCATGGGAGAGACACAGCAGCATGGGAGAACACAGCAGCATGGGAGGAGCACAGCAGCATGGGAGAGACACAGCAGCATGGGAGAGACACAGCAGCATGGGAGACACAGCAGCATGGGAGAGACACAGCAGCATGGGAGAGACACAGCAGCATGGGGAGACACAGCAGCATGGGAGAGACACAGCAGATGGGACGCATGGGAGGACACAGCAGCATGGGAGAGACACAGCAACATGGGGGGAACACAGCAGCATGGGAGAGACACAGCAGCATGGGAGGAGCACAGCAGCATGGGAGAGACACAGCAGCATGGGAGGAGCACAGCAGCATGGGAGGACACAGCAGCATGGAGAACAGCAGCATGGGAGAGACACAACAGCATGGGAGAGACACAGCAGCATGGGAGGACACAGCAGCATAGGAGAGACACAGCAACATGGGAGAGACACAGCAGCATGGGAGGACACAGCAGCATGGGAGAGACACAGCAGCATGGGAGGGACACAGCAGCATGGGAGAGACACAGCAGCATGGGAGAACACAGCAGCATGAGGAGACACAGCAGCATGGGAGAACACAGCAGCATGGGAGGACACAGCAGCATGGGAAAGACACAGCAACATGGGAGGAACACAGCAGCATGGGAGAACACAGCAGCATGGGAGAGCACAGCAGCATGGGAGAGACACAGCAGCATGGGAGGAACAGCAACATGGGAGAACACAGCAGCATGGGAGAGACACAGCAGCATGGGAGAGACACAGCAGCATGGGAGAGACACAGCAGCATGGGAGGGCACAACAGCATGGGAGAACACAGCAGCATGGAGACACAGCAGCATGGGAGAGACACAGCAGCATGGAGAGACACAGCAGCATGGGAGGAACCAGCAGCATGGGAGGGCACAGCAGCATGGGAGACACAGCAGCATGGGAGAGACACAGCAGCATGGGAGAACACAGCAGCATGGGAGAACACAGCAGCATGGGAGGCTGGCAGCATGGGAGAACACAGCAACATGGGAGAGACACAGCAGCATGGGAGGAGCAGCAGCATGGGAGAGACACAGCAGCATGGGAGAACACAGCAGCATGAGCTGGCCATGGAGGACACACATGGGAGAGATACAGCATGGGAGAACACAGCAGCATGGGAGAGACACAGCAGCATGGGAGAACACAGCAGCATGGGAGGAGACAGCAGCATGGGAGAACACAGCAGCATGGGAGACACAGCAGTATGGAGAGAACACAGCAGCATGGGAGAGAGACAGCAGCATGGGAGAAACACAGCATGGGAGAGACACAGCAGCATGGAGAACACAGCAGGGAGACACAGCAGCATGGGAGACACACAGCATGGGAGGGCACAGCAGCATGGGAGAGACACAGCAGCATGGGAGAACACAGCAGCATGGGAGAGAGAACAGCATGGGAGAACACATCAGCATGGGAGAACACAGCAGCATGGGAGAACACAACATGGAGAGACACAGCAGCATGGGAGAGACACAGCAGCATGGGAGAGACACAGCAGCATGGGAGAGACACAGCAGCATGGAGGACAGCAGCATGGGAGGACACAGCAGCATGGGAGACACAGCAGCATTGGAGAGACACACAGCAGCATGGGAGGAGACACAGCAGCATGGGAGAGACACAGCAGCATGGGAGAGACACAGCAGCATGGGAGAGACACAGCATGGGAGAGACACATCAGCATGGGAGGACACAGCAGCATGGGAGACACAGCAGCATGGGAGAGCAGCAGCATGGGAGAGACACAGCAGCATGGGAGACACAGCAGCATGGGAGAACACAGCAGCATGGGAGGACCGCAGCATGGGAGACACAGCATGGGGAGACACAGCAGCATGGGAGGAACACAGCAGCATGGGAGACACAGCAGCATGGGAGACACAGAATGGGAGAACACAGCAGCATGGGAGACACAGCATGGGAGGACACAGCAGCATGGGAGAACACAGCAACAGGAGAGACACAGCAGCATGGGAGAGACACAGCAGCATGGGAGAACACAGCAGCATGGAGGAACACACAGCATGGGAGGGCACATGGGAGACACAGCAGCATGGGAGGAGACACAGCAGCATGGGAGGAACACAGCAGCATGGGAGGAACACAGCAGCATGGGAGAGACACACAGCAGCATAGGAGAGACACAGCAGCATGGGAGACACAGCAGCATGGGAGGACACAGCAGCATGGAGACACAGCAGCATGGGAGAACACAGCAGCATGGGAGAGACACAGCAGCATGGAGAGACACAGCAGCATAGGAGAACACAACAGCAATGGGAGAGACACAGCAGCATGGGAGAGACACAGCAGCATGGGAGGAACACAGCAACATGGGAGACACACAGCATGGGGAGGAGAACACAGCAGCATGGGAGAACACAGCAGCATGGGAGAGACACAGCAGCATGGAGGAGAGACACAGCATGGGAGAACACAGCAGCATGGGAGACACAGCAGCATGGGAGGACACAGCAGCATGGGAGGGAGACACAGCAGCATGGGAGAACACAGCAGCATGGGAGAGACACAGCAGCATGGGAGAGACACAGCAGCATGGGAGGACACAGCAGCATGGGAGAGACACAGCAGCATGGGAGAACACACAGCATGGGAGACACAGCAGCATGGGAGAGACGAGAACAGGCATGGGAGAGCAGCAGCATGGAAACACAGCAGCATGGGAGACACAGCAGAATGGGAGAGACACACAGCAGCATGGGAGAACACAGCAGCATAGGAGACACAGCAGCATGGGAGGAACACAGCAGCATGGGAGAGACACAGCAGCATGGTAGAGACACAGCAGCATGGGAGACACAGCAGCATGGGGAGAGACACAGCAGCATGGGAGAGACACAGTAGCATGGGAGAACATAGCAGCATGGGAGAGACATAGCAGCATGGGAGAGACACAGCAGCATGGGAGAGACACAGTAGCATGGGAGAGACATAGCAGCATGGGAGAGACACAGCAGCATGGGAGAGACACAACAGCATGGGAGAGACACAACAGCATGGTAGAGACACAACAGCATGGGAGAGACACAGCAGCATGGGATTGGTCCGGGTTTACGGGGATCAAGAGGCAGAGAAGTAACCCAGTAATACAGACGCTGGATAACTCGAACACCTGGGGACAATGACAGAGGCACAGCTCGTATTGGGAGTGTCTGAGTGTGTGTTAATATGTCTATGTATACTGACTGTTGACTTATGTATAACTCTATAACATGAATAATATAATGTCGTCCTGTATATTGTTATAAATGTATATCAGTTCATTGTACGTGTCATATAGGAAATTCTTATATAATGTAATTTTAAAATATTTGAATGAAGAAATAATTTACTAGAGATTCCAGATTATTTTCATTAGTGACAACATAACACCTGTTAGAAACTTACCGTTATGATGGTCGTTGTCGTAACTCTGTGGGGAGGAAGACGAAATCAACATGAGTGATTGATATTGTTGTGTTGTTAAAGTAGTAAGACAATTGCTCGTGTTTTACGGGTAAACTTCATAATGTTCTGTCTGTCTCTCTAGTCATACATAAAGTGACTTCTACATCTCAAGATATTAACCTATATTCACTTGGTATTTGGGTTCATTTGTAATGTAACTAAACTTAAGTGCTGTAGAGGCCTGTATTTTTCCCTCGCTTCCCAACACCCGCCAGTAACATTAAACATAACACAACCGGGATTCAAAGCAGTTTCCTCCCAGATGCCTTCATGATCCTGGTCAGTTTGGCTGTGTTAGCGCCAATCAGGGGAGGACTGGCTGTAGACCGTGTTATGTCAGGGGAGGACTGGCTGTAACATGTCAGACTGTGTTAGAGCCAGTCAGAGGAGGACTGACTGTAACACGTCAGACTGTGTTAGTGCCAGTCAGAGGAGGACTGACTGTAACACGTCAGACTGATTAGTGCCAATCAGAGGAAGACTGACTGTAGCACGTCAGACTGTTATTGATAAACAGTCTATGGTGAGGAACACATCCACATGGTTCCTTGTTTATCAACGGGACCAGTTGATGAAATTTGTCATCCTACGGTCTTGACATCAAGACGAGCTGCTGAAGTTGTTCATCAGTTATTGTACAACTTTCTTCCAGCAGGTGCCTCATACAGTCTCCAGGGTGACAACAGCAGCGAGTTTACGGCCGAAGTGGTAAATGGAGGGAAATAGTGTGGCCCACACTAGTCATACACGGTAAACCACGCCATCCACTGAGCCATGGATCAGTGGAGCGTACGCTTCTGTGGCCTGGAGGAGTGACAACGATACCAATGATTGGCTTATAAGGGTAAAGTTTGTTCAATTTCACAAGAACTTTAGTCTTCTCTCGCTGTAATGTTAAGATTGGTCTGATTTCGTCGTCCCTCCAAAAGGAAATTATTGACAGCATAAAGAGTATAGATCTAACTTTTTGACGGCATCTGACCCATCGCTACACATGAAATATAAAATGTTATTAATAAAATTTTTGAAGCAAAAAGAAATATAAAGATGCGTATTGTTTTGTAATAAAAGTCAATAAAATGATTTCGTGTAATCACTAACATTAATTAGTCCGACTTTTGGACTACAAACAGCTCGTTAAAAACCGGAGATTGTTATTTGTTAAAAATGACAGTCTCTGATGAGCATGTAGGAAATTCGTGTAACAAGTTACCATAATAAACAGTGATTTCACGTAATCCCTTCAAACTTCAGGACTGCATGTAATCGTTGATCGTCACAGAGATTACACGAAATCCCTGAATATCTTAGGTATTACTCCCTAGTTACACAGATTCCCTGGAACATATGATGACAAATTATATATACGGCATTCCTTTCTTTATTCTTCAAAAATTCAGACTATTGTGTGTAGAGGTTCGATCATAGACAATCATAGTACAAACTACAATGAACAGTATTATTATTAACCTAACCTAATTTAATGTATACAGTATAGTCCAGTGGATATACGCCCAACGTAGGCCAAACCCACCACTAATTCTAACAGTATTATATCTGGTATCACATTATATTGGAAGCCGATTGTGACCAGGTCCCAGGTTGCTGATCTGACTTTCTGCCTCATTTACACACAATTGCAGGGTCTCAATTGTTTCTCTTACTATTGACAACACAACATAAATATATTGTTTCTCACTTTTGATATTTTTTTGTATTTATGGCTCTTTATTATTATTATTATTATTATTATTATTATTATTATTATTATTATTATTATTATTATTATTATTATTATTATTATTATTATTATTATTATTATTATTATTATTATTATTATTATTATTATTATTATTATTATTACTATTATTATTATTATTATTATTATTATTATTATTATTATTATTATTATTATTATTATTATTATTATTATTATTTATTATTATTATTATTAATATTATTATTATTATTATTATTAATATTATTATTATTATTATTATTATTACTATTATTATTATTATTAATATTATTATTATTATTATTATTACTATTATTATTATTATTATTATTATTATCATTATTGTTATTACTATTATTATTATTATTATTATTATTTATTATTATTATTATTATCATATTATTATTATTATTATTATTATTATTATTATTATTAATATTATTATGTTTATATTATTATTATTATTATTATTATTATTATTATTATTATTATATTATTATTATATTATTATTATTATTATTATTATTATTATTATTATTATTATTATTATTATTATTATTATTATTATTATTATTATTATTATTTATTATTATTATTATTATTATTATTATTATTATTATTATTATTATTATTGTTATTATTATTATTATTATTATTATTATTATTATTATTATTATTATTATTATTATTTATTATTATTATTATTATTATTATTATTATTATTATTATTATTATTATTATTACTATTATTATTATTATTATTATCATTATTATTATTATTATTATTATTATTATTATTATTATTATTATTATTATTATTATCAGTGTTATTATTACTATTACTATTGCTATTACTATTATTATTATTATTATTATTATTATTATTGTTATTATTATTATTATTATTATTATTATTATTATTGCTATTATTATTATTATTATTATTATTATTATTATTATTATCATTATCATTATTATTATTATCAGTGTTATTATTGTTATTATTATTATTATTATTATTATTATTATTATTATTATTATTATTATTATTATTATTATTATTATTATTATTATTATTATATTTTTCGCCCCCTAGGCCTTGGTGTCGGTCATAAAATGACTTGTGCCGGGTGGGCTAATGCCAGTAAAAAGAGAGAAAAACAAAGTTTTATCCTAATTAACGTATTAAAAATCAACCAAAATCAGACGACTGGAACAGTTTCAGTTATAGGTGATACTGACTAGGTGAGCCGGGAAACTTGACACTATATTTTTGGTTACGAGTCCCATATAAACATGAAAAACTCACTTACTAATAAACTGATTGAAGTACAGTATCTGTATTTTGTTTTTATACTCTTAAGTCCTTAGTAGTCTATTTTCCTTCAATCTTTGTTTGTAAAAGTAAAAAGAAACTGAAGAAATCTCTCTGAAGCAGAAATATACAGTTCATACAACTTATGTATATTTTCTCATTCACTAATGATAAAACAACTGTACAAGAATTATTGAGCAGCAGATAAACTACGTCTTTTGACTTCACTTTGCCTAAAATATCTTGATAATTCTTCTGTTTATTGAGATACGGTATTGTATATAAACAACATGATAGTAAGACGGTGGTGGACAGCTTAAGTTTGTCGTCTTTTCTGCAGGATATTTTTCTGCTAAAACACTTATTGTCTTTACCTTACGAAGTGGATTACATATATATCAAATATATTTTACTTTGCATAATTTCTACTACTTTCATATATATTAATTAAGAACATCTTTTATAAAGGTGACGGTGTACTTTGCTTTTGTCATGCATGTTCTGTGGACTGTGTTTGGTACTGGTAGTGCATATAAGTCATGATTATCAGTAGAACGCCCTGAGGCACACAGAATCTTCTCAGATGGTCTTCATTTGGTGAGTTGTTCAGATAGGTACTGGGGATACCTGTCTTCTGACATTGTTATAGAACCAAGCCATAATGAGAAACCTGAAGACAACGGGGGGACTGACCAGAGGACGAGGGATAACAGAGAACCAGAGACTCATGTGCAGAGGTGAATCATAACATGTAAGAATTTACCTCTGTAAGCTACAACACGAGCGATCAACATAAGGACATGTCCCGAGCACGTCAAGAGCGCGATGTTCACGATACTGAGAGTCTTGTCTCCTTTCAACCTTCTAGATCCCCATTTTCACCAATTACAACAAGTTACAGTATTGATACAGGTGTTTGTCCTACAGATGATGTGGCTCTTATTGTAGGTCAGAAGGTTATGGACGGGATGCTGGGCCGAAATGTCCTTGAATACATCCAGTTCTTTTCAGTTCACATCACGTACTACCAGACACTGACAAGCCTCTGCTGCCCGAAGCTTTGTGGAAAGAAATGCTCAACAAAGAAGTCACCTTACCTGAAAATAGCCAGTACATTCTCGATGGTGGTTGTCTCCTTCATCGAGGTCCATGGTAGACTAGTGAAACGTGGGATGCTATATTAAATCAATTTACTCGTTGTGTAACAGCAAAATTTGGCAAGGCTACCATCGTCTTTGATGGAAATCGTTCTGGTCCTACAATAAAAGATGGAATCAAATCAAGGCGAGGTAAAGGTGAGGCAGATCCCACAGTTGATTCACCAGTGTACAATTCGTAAAGAGAAGTTCTTATCCAACACTGAGAATTAGCAGCAATTCGCGGACATTCTCATCATCAGACTGGAGCGAGGTGGCTGTAACATTCTTAATGCCAGAGCAGACGCTGATGTCTTGATCGGTCAAACTGCTATTGCACTGCTGGTCAGAAGGCGCGACACAATCTTGGTTGGAAATGACAGTTCTTCTTATTTTGTTTTGCAGTCAGACAGAGGACATCCACTTTAAGCTGTACTTCCGGCCAGAACCAAACCTACAGTCTAAGAAACCAACAAAGTGCTGGAATATCGGACAGCTTCAGCAGTCATTTGATAACAATGTCTGTGACAATCTTGTGTTCATTCATGCTATCCTTGGGTGTGACACTACTGCTTGCTTGTTTGGTGTTGGCAAACCTGCTGCCCTGAAACGGGCTAAATTCATTCTGTACTTCTAACAATTAGCTGCTATATTCTGGTCCACAAAAGTAGATCGGTGTGATATAATCAAGGCTGAGAAATCGCATCAGTGTCCTTGCATAATGGTGAACCTGGAGATACTCTATAGACAAGACCAGATTGAGACTCTTCCACCGAAAGGTATCCTCAAGTAACACTCGTGTAAATCCACAGAACTTGCCTCCAACATCTGCTGCTGCTCAATATCATAGCATTCGTGTTTACCGTCAGCATCAGTAGTTGTCTGGGAGAGATTTACCTCCAGAGAAATGGGGATGAATGATACGTGACAATAAGATGGTTCCGGTCTCCACAGAGTTACAGCCGCTCCAGTCTACCTTCTGGATGCAGTACATTGTAATTGTATAAGTAAATGTGATACTCGTCGCTGTGGATGCAGGAGGTTTGGATTACAATGTTCTATAGCATGTGGGTCGTTTAAAGGTATTCACAGAAAGGGACAGTGATGTAGATGATGATAGTGTATCCTAGTACTAAGTTTTGATAATCCAGCTTACTGAATGGTTGAGTTTGGTTGATTCATAATAGTCTTAGTAACTTATATCTAATAATTCCTTCTCATATGCATGCTATAATTTTTTTAACTGTACATAATGATCTGATTCTTTGCACATTTTGCATGATATCAGTACTATTGATGTTACTTGGGTGGAGTAGTATGCCACTTGCATGTTAGTTTGTTGTATGTTGCGTGGGGTAATTTGTAGTTATTATGTGTTTCTGTCACAAGAATAAGGATAAATAAAATGTACTAAAACTGATGGAAAGTGCTGTGCGATGCCATCAGAATGACTAAATTCTCTTGAAAGAAGATCATTGCAGGCTCAATATGGAAGTCATAATGGATTGCAGATTTGGGATTACAAGCAATTTTTTTTCCATCTAGGGATAATTAGGTGAGTTACTCGCGAGAATAATGGAGCCAAACATTGAAATGACTGCTCTAGCAGCCTGGACATCTGAAATAGGTTTCAGCTTGGCTACTGTAGCGGCCATATTGGATTACAGTGTGTTTCTATGTTTTAATTTTGGGGTGATTTTTATTTTGTTATTCAGTGTTAATCTGAGAGCCAAAAATCACTACTTTAAAAAGTATTGGAATTTGTGGTGGGTATATCACCAGACTAATAGTTGAGTTGTTATGACAGTAAATTACGTCTAAAATAAAAGAGCAAAATTCGCTATATGTATTAAAAAAATTCCATTAAGTTATAATAATATAAAAATAAAATATCCCTATTTGGCAAAAAAAGTAAAGTGCATTTTACGTTTAGCAAATAGGGTAGTAGTAGTAGTACGTTACCGATAAGGGCAAATGGTTTCAGTCTCAATAAACAAGAATTTACAGATGACATTGCTCTAAGGTACGGTTGGCCAGTAGAAGGCTTACCCTCCCATTGCGTGTGTGTGGCTCTTCCTATGACGTCGATCACGCCATGGTGTGCAAGAAGGGGGGCTTCATATGCATGAGGCATGACGAAGTAAGGGACCTCACAGCAAATATGTTGAAGGAAATCTGCCGGGATGTCATGGTAGAACCGACCCTCCTTTCTTTGGACGGTGAGATCTTCCAACATAGGACTTCAAACACAGCTAACGAAGCCCGTGTTGACGTCAGTGCTCGAGGATTCTGGACGCCAGGACAGCGAGCTTTCTTCGACATCAGGATTTTTGATCCCATGGCCGCATGTCACCGTAACCTAGCTCTCGATGCTGCACACAGGAGGAACGAGAACGACAAGGTAAGGGCATATGGAGAGAGAATCCAAAACGTTGACCAAGGCAGCTTCACTCCTCTAGTGTTCACAACCTCTGGTGGGATGGGACCAAGTGCACGATGTTTCTACGCCAGACTCGCGGAGGTGATCTCCGAACAGAAGCAGCAGCCCAGAAGTTTCATTACAGCCTGGATGAGATGTCGACTGTCTTTCTCTCTCCTTCGGTCGGCTTTGCTCTGCCTCAGGGGAACGAGAGCTTCTGCCCCAATTCCGACAACTGCTGCAGATATCGACTATGAGGCTACAGTCACTGAATGCCGCATAGATCTGCGGCTCAACTAATTTAACACAGATAGGATAGCTACATATGTATTAGGATATTTAATATTAAGGTAATTAAATGGTGACGAAGGTGTGGCTATTTGGGGGAGGCTGGAGGCCACGTAATAGAAAAAAAAGTAGTAGTAGTAGTAGTAGTAGTAGTAGTAGTAATAATAATAATAATAATAATAATAATAATAATAATAATAATAATAATAATAATAATAATAATAATAATAATAACACGTGATGGCAGCAATACAGTCTCTGATAACAGGTTGGCAGTGCTCCCTCACATAATAAACATATTAACACAACTCAAGAGTTTAGCTCACCTGGTATGACTCCCCGAAGATCCTCGTCGCCTGCAGGAGCTCCACCAGCACGAACAACAACAATATGCTGGCTAAACGTTTCATGTTTAGCACCAAGCAGCTGTCTGGAGGTGTCACAAACCTACATTGACCAGTCGCGGTGTAGACTAACGGCAGCTTGGGTGCCCAGTCTGTTTATCAAACACTTGTTGACTTATAACGAGGCAACAGTTGCTCGGTAATCTGATAATACATATTGACGCTTATCGTGTCTTCGTAGTGTTTCATGAGCGAAGTAACTGGCTGAACTATAATGACACGTCAGTAACACTTGTGTATGGTAATATTTCGACCTTGTTTGACGGTTATATGTTAGGTGCACAAACACAATACTTACATGAGGTACACACACATACACACACACACACATACACACACACACACATACAAATTGTCTTAGTAAAAGGAAAATATGAAAAAAAAGAAAACACTCAGTGAACAATCGCACTCCACCTCTGGACCAACAGATAGCTGAATCTGTATATCTCTGACCAAGATAAGTCAGACGTCACACTGAACACTTGCAATCTGCATGTTACCTGTGATAACCGTCATCTACACACAGGTGCTTCACAACCCGAATGTTACCTGAGGATTAAGAACATAAGTATACATAAGAACATAAGAATGGAGGAAACTGCAGAGGGCTTATTAACCCATACTATGGGCAGTCCCGTTTACACCCAACCCCTATCGCTCATATATCCATCCAACCTATGTTTGAAGTTATCCAGCGTGTTCGACTTAATGATGATTTTCGGGAACTTGTTCCACTCGTCCACTACTCTATTTCCAAACCAGTGTTTACCCATCTCGCACCTAAATGGAAATTTGTCTGATTTAAAACCATTGCTACGACTTCGCCCCTGGTTGGATAGTTTGAGTACCGTGGTAATGTCCCCTTTCTTCAGCCCTGACTTCCATTTATACACCTTGATCATATCGCCCCTCACTCTACGTCTCTCGAGGGAATGCAAATTTAGATGGTTTAAAGTTTAATCTGTCTCTTTACTCAAGGCTCGCAAAATATAATATTAGGATAACTTCTCTAGTCTTGTAACTAACACATGCCTTGTATGAACCTAAATACTTTGTTGGCCTTGTTTTGAGCAAATACTCAGTGTTATCTTGGTTTAATATTCCTACTTATTATTACCTCTAAATCGGTCTCAGCAGGATTTCTATGTTTCAATGTTGTTCATCTGATATCTGGTTTTCTATTTACATCTCCACATTAAATTACATCTGCCATTTTTCAGACCATGTGAAAAGTATGTTTAGATCTTTCTGTAGTTATGAGGAGTCCTCGTCAGATTTAATTACATTCCCTATTTTAGTATCGTCAACAAATTTACTTATGTTGCTGTCTATGCCTATATCTATGCCGTCCATGTCCATAATAAATAGTTATGGTCCTAGTACTGAGCCTTAGGGTACTCCACTATTGACGTTACCCAAATCGGATCTAGTGCCATTGATGCTGACTCTGTTTCCTGTCCTGTAACCACGCCATAATCCAGTTTAAAATATCTCCTCTAATTCCAAGAGCCTCCACTTTACGTATTAGTCTTTTGTGGAGGACTCTGTCGAGCGCTTTATTAAATTCGAGGTAAACCACATTTTAATAGCGTAATTCATTCACCGATTCGAAAACAGTTATAAAAACGTGAATAGAGTTATCAAACATTAACACCCACTCGTGTAGACATGCTGGGAATCACTGACCAACTTGTGTTTCTCGAGGGTGATTTTGAAATGAGTTTGAAGTTATTGCTTCCATCAATTTGCCTACAATTGATGTTAAGCTGATTGAACGGTAGTTAGAGGTATCACAACATTGGGTCTTACCCAAGCTTACCCCAAGAGACACAGTGCTTAACAACAGCGAAATTACTATTGCTAGTTCTTAAGTAGGGTAGACTTCATGAGATACTCTTAAGGTGTTCACAAATACTCAGTTACAGCTGAAGAATAAATCCTGAGTGAAAAGGACCAACATGAACACCGAGGTAACTATACCTTATTTACATATTTTTACAAATAAGAGGTACAAGACATAATAATTATAAATGTACTTCCTACCTAATTGGGAGTTCAGCATAAGCACCACTGACTCCTCACCTAACAATCCCTACAAAAAGGATACAAAAACCTTAGGCCACCAAGTGTGGCCAAGTGTGGGGATAGGATAGAACAGGGCAGATATTTCTCCTCAACCAAGCCAAGGACAAGACAGAGGGAGAAGGAGAGGCAGAGACATATCCTCCTAGGCAAGGCTGGTGTAAGACAGAGGACCTGGGTCAGCAGGGGGTGGATGTCTCAGTAAGTTCCACCCACCTGCACATACGTGGTGTTACACCATCAACACCAGGTTAAAAATAACATAAAACTACATACTCAATGTGTGTGTGTGTGTGTGTGTGTGTGTGTGTGTGTGTGTGTGTAAACATTGACTAATAACAAGCTGTGAACAGTAACATGCAACCTCCTGGTCTGGTGGTAGCTGCAACTCGCCTTATCTCAGGACAGAGTTAATCATGATAAGTCACAAGCATAATACGGCTACAGGTGAAGAACATGTCACTTGATAACCATAGCACGGATATAAGCTCCTCTGTCTACCACACACCCTTTATCTACTTATCCAGCCTATGTCAACATCATAACATGTAAATAAATTATATTTAATTCTCATCACAACCAATAATAGTAATTAGGAACTTTTGATGTATATATTTTAGCTAATCTATCTAGCAAAGTGCGCTATCAGATAAGGGATACATCATTGATAACACCAGGCAAGTGAAGTCCACCTGGATATGCATTACCCCTCCGTCCTAGTGTGGTGCTTCTGTGGTCGTCAGGAGACAGAGTCGTGCAGTGACTAGGAAGCAGAGTTCTGTGATCACCAGGAGACAACACCGTATATTCACCAGGAGACAACACCGTCTGATGAACAGGCAGGAACAATGAGGGCAGTGTGGTGGTCACTGGTGTTGGTGCTGACGGTGTCGTCGTCATTCTCCCACGCACAAGAGGTAGTCACCAGTCAGAGTCCTGTAACTATCCAAAGTTATGTGTGTGTGTGTGTGTGTGTGTGTGTGTGTTTGTGTGTGTGTGTGTGTGTATGGTGTTTGACAGCTATTTCGACACTGATGATACCTGGATTATTTTGGTCAAAAGTCAAGGAAAGGTCAAGATATAGTCGTTAAAGTGAAGGTAGTTAACATAAGAACATAAGAACATAAGAATGGAGGAAACTGCAGCGGGCCTATTGACCCATACTGGGCAGTCCAGTTTATACCCAACCCCTATTGCTCATATAAGCATCCAACCTATGTTTGAAGCTATCCAGCGTATTCGAGTTAATGATGATATTTGGTAACTTGTTCCATTCATCCACTACTATGTTTCCAAACCAGTGTTTACCTATTTCACCCCGAAATCTAAATTTGTCTTATTTAAAACCAATGGTACGAGTTCGCTCCTGGTTGGATAGTATGAGTACCTTTGTAATGTCCCCTTTGCTTAACCATGACTTCCATTTATACACCTCTATCATGTCGCCCCTCACTCTACGTCTCTCGAGGGAGTGCAAATTAAGATGCTTTAACCTGTCTCTGTACTCAAGGTTCCTAATGCCCGGGATTAGTCTTGTCATTCTCCTCTGGATTCTTTCCAAGGATTTTATGTCCAATATCCATTCTGTAATACGGTGACCAGAACTGAACTGCATAATCCAGGTGAGGTCTCACAAGCTCTAGATATAATTATAAGATGACCTCGCTAGTCTTGTAACTAACACTCCTTTGTATGAACCCAAGTACTTTATTAGCCTTGTTACGAGCAAAAACACATTGTTTACTTGGCTTAAGATTCCTACATATCATTACTCCTAAATCTCTCTCGCAGTCGGATTCCACAATGGCATCATTGTTCATCTGGTAACTGGTTTCCCTGTTTACATCTCCTATACTGAGTACTTTACATTTGTCGACATTGAATTTCATCTACCATTTTTCCGACCATTCGAAAATTTTTTTTAGATCTTCCTGTAGTTTTGCAGAGTCCTCGTCAGATTTAATAACACGTCCTATTTTAGTGTCATTAGCAAATTTACTTATGTTGCTGTCTATGCCGATATCTATGTCGTTTATGTATACAATAAATAATAATGGTCCAAGTACTGAGCCTTGGGGAACTCCACTAGTGACGTTGCTCCAATGAGATTTAGTGCCGTTTATGCTCACTCTCTGTTTCCTGTCCCGTAACCACGCCCTAATCCATTTAAGGATATTGCCTTTGATGCCATGCGCTTCTACCTTTCTAATTAGTCTTTCGTGGGGGACTCTGTCAAAGGCTTTGCTAAAGTTGAGATATACCACATCATAATTGTGCCCCTTGTCCACCGATTCGAAAACTGATGAAAAGAATGTTAATAGATTAGTTAGACATGAACGACCGCTTGTGAAGCCATGTTGGGAATCATTGATCAACTTGTGCTTCTCCAGGTGGTTTCGAATAGAGTTTGAAATGATTGATTCTAGTAATTTGCCTACTATTGATGTTAGACTGATTGGGCGGTAGTTAGAGGATAGTGATCTATCCCCCTTCTTGAAAATTGGTATTAAATTTGCTATCCTCCAGGATTCTGGTACTACACCTGTTTTTAATGACATGTTAAACAACTTTGCTCTTCCTTCCATTCCTTTAATACTCTGGCAAATATCTCATCAGGACCAGGTGACTTATTAGGCTTCAGTTTGTCTATTTGGTTATTATCAACGTTACTAGTCACTACTATCTCGCTTAATTTGTTTTCTTCACTATCTCTGAATAGAGTCGGTGCCTCGGGTATCATGTTTAAATTTTCGGTGGTGAAAATTGTTGAAAAATATTAATTCCGATTATTGCTCAATTCTCAGTCATTATCAGTTAGCTCGCCGGTATCTGAACGTATTGGTCCAATCTTATCTCGTGTTTTAGT